GAGAGAGGAGAAAGCAGAGGAGGGTACAATGAGCTCTGCGGCAGGTAGAGTCTTGTCCCGCTGCACCTACATCCCACAATCACCCCTGGAGTAGTGGTTCCATTAAATAGAATGGATCTGACTCGACTCTATTAATTAAAATTCTGCATTGGAAAAAGCCTCAAAGCTCTTCCTCAAAAAAAAAAAGAAAAGATTTCATGGTCAGACCCTGACAAGTGTCCCAGGACATTACTCATTGACTGGACAGTGCACAAGAAGCTCCACAGCCTTCCTAAGAAGATGTTCAACAATTCCAGGCAACTTTAAACAAGATTTTGCCCAATGACTTCTAGGAGTATTTCCTTACAGCTATTCCTTCAACTGTAAGGTGATATGTGAAAATCAGGTTATGTGAAGTAAACCCTTTTACATAGACGAAGCTCTGAAACCAAAAGGGCACACTCTGTCAGAGCCAAGAAACTCCCCTTTCTAGAACAGGACTCCAAAAAGAAGAAAAGGGGGCTGAATATAAAGGTTAGCAGTGCAGTATTTCGTGCCTGGACAGATAAACAGAAGAAGTTTTATATGTGTGCCAAATGCAACTTAACACACTGCAAACATGGTCCATCCATTGGAACATCCTGCCACCCAGGACTGTTCAGAGGAAAGTACCCAGAATATAGACTCTACAACTCTGAAACTGTGATTGCCCCAGAAAGCCCTCAGGAAGGTGATTTGTGCTCTGATGCGTTTAGCCCTGGTGCTCCTGGCCAATCTAAGTGCTAAATTCAAACTTTGAACAGCTGCCAAGATTGTCAAGCACCAGTCAAAGTTAAACAGCAGCAAGCTCACCGCTCACTGGCATGGGGGCACAGGCCGATACAGTGCCACAGTCACCGTAAATGCTTTATTAGTCATGGCCATATGGTTCGTTTCATAGGAGCCTGACAAATTGTTTCTCAAGAAAAAAACTCTTCATAATTCAGACATGCAACTCAACAGAATAAACAATAATATATCTTCTTTTTCCTCTTTTTATTTGGACACATTTGATCTATTCAATGTCTGCTATATGGTCTTCTCTGGGTGGTTTAACAATCATTTCATGTTTCTTTTACAGTGAAGTTAAAATAGTGGGAACCTGTGTGTCAGTCATATTATTTCCCCATAAAGCTCCTGTGTCATGTGCTTAGAAGTGGTAAGCAGTTTCACCTTTGACCTAATAAAATGGCCCAAGTATATGGTGCAAAGTTCAGGAAATCATCCCTTAACCACTCAGCCCTTGTCCTTCAGGAGTTTATTAGACACACCCACCTCAAGGCTTTGCTGGGAAAGGCTGGAGCTTTACCATGGTAACAAAGCTCCTAAATGACTCAGGTGTCCTTGTTTCATGGAGTTCTGGGAAACTTTGACACTGTAAGCCCAAGGCTGTGTAATTTCAGCAGCCACTGGTGTATGAAATCCATGCTGCTTTAAGCAATTTACAATTACTTTGATTCTTCAAATCACAGCATGGATCCTGTACTAGAATTCTCACAGGTAAGATTTCTCAATGCTGTAACGATCACATCAAATTGACTTGTTAAATGGCAATGATAAGGCCCAATAGACTCACAAATTAACTTACATACATGCTTATTGTTACAGCTATTCCAACCCTTATGGAACATACTAGGGCTGTACCAAACTAAGGATTTTGTCAGTCCACTGGTCAGTGTGACTATTAGAGAGTTTTTTTTATATATACCCTAAATTGTCAGAAAATCAACTGGCATAAATTTCAGTTGATTTCAACCACAATAACATCTGTTATCAAATGCAAAAGAGAGACAGAAATATATTTCTGAGAATTAAGGCAGCTGTATATGATGCCAGATTTAAATTTACAATATATAATCGGACTGCCATGTGAATTTGGCAGAATAATAAAACTTAACTGAAAAGAAACTGTGTGACCCAAGAAACTGTTTAAATTTGTATTTACGATGACTAGTGGATTTTCATGGCCCAGCCCTAGAACATACTGTAGGTCTTATCCCATTCACAACAAACCGACTGCTTACCTTCCACGCAGTGCTCCACGTCCTCCAGGTTGCGCAAGGTAATCCTCATCAGGCTTGAGTTGAGCATAAGTTCATTCTTGTGTTCTGGTCCCATGGACTCGGGGGCAAGGTTGAGAAAGAATATGCGAGTGTCGCCCGTAGCTACCTGGTTGTCGCAGATCCCAGGGTTGCCAAAACCACCGATCATCACCTTGTTCCCACCATCTAGGAGAATTTCACGATTGATGTTGGACTTTCCTTTCAAGTAGCGCCACACCCTGACCTTTAGTCGAGCCACAACAAAAAGAAAGCAAACATTTTAGGGTTTGTCAAAAACATGTATCTTAATTTCACTTATAAGTATGCATAGGGTTGCTTGTTGGACCCCTGTCCATCTCTGCACTATCTGGATCATGGTTTCCCTCAGAGCCCCCTCTGTGTTTTGTGATGGGAGGCTAGTGTTTCTCAGACTTCAAATCTTTACTGAAAATTTTATTTACAGATTTGCAACTAAAATATACACTGATGTCATAAACTGTATGTAATACGTAATTCCAAAGGGACTCTTTCAACTTTAATATATCTCATACCAGATACAGATTTTATCCTCCTACAGGAAAACTGCCCCTATACTGCATCACAAGGAGTGCAGCAAGGTTGTTTTATGCTCAGTCATGAGAAAGCTCTGCCCTTCCACTACACGATAGCTGTCTTGTCTTAGTTCAGCCCTTGGTAGAGGTTTCTGTTTCTAGAACGAGCACCGCATACCTCTAGTCGGCTCTATTCGTTCACTGGGTGACGGGAAGTTAGTGGGCGCAGAGGAAAAGAGCAGCAAGAGACCTGAATAAACCAACTTGTTTATTTCACCAGATTATAGAGCGGTTTACCACAAGTGAATGATGATGCAGCTGTTAGTTTTACAATTGAATGGCCATGTGGAAGCCTACATCCTGACTGAAAATTTGTTTATTTGAAGAGCAGGAGATTTGTTTTTCACCATGCTGGTCTAGTTAGTAGCCACAGTAGTAGTAGATCGTTCTTGTGACATAAACAGATAAACGTTACAGTTTCAGATATATCACACACTGGTGTCACACAAATGCACGACTATTGCTTTGGATACACTGTGCATCATCTGTCAACCCTCTGCTAAAAAAAAAAAACATTTTTATTGTCCCTTATTTAATATTATACCATTGGCCTTAAAATTACTGCAGTATTTTTTTGAGTGCTTTAAGTGTTTCTGTGGTACTTTTCAGTGATCCTATTACATATTATATACTTATTAATCCCAAAAGAGATTACTGTTCTAGCCAAAAATCACAAACTCCTCCTGGGGGAATGCAAATGATGCCATTTGTCACTAACACTACAGAATAAATGTTGTTGCCACTGGCAAGTAAGATCCAGATTTTCAACATTTAAGACTAGAAATCAAGTGAGAGCTGCAGCCAGGGGCCACTGAGGGGCCAGTTTCCTGCTGCAACATGTTAGGAATGATTACATAGGTGGTTAGGCCTCCCTTGAAGCTATGCAATTGTTAAGTGGTACTAAAAAGCACAATTTAAATATTTCTGAAAGTAAAGTGGAGTCATTGTCAGCGTCCATATGACCACTGCCAAATGCTTAGGAATGAATGAGTTTGTAACTTTTTTTAGGCAAGCTGTTGGTGCTGGAAGGAAAACAGTGGTCATAGCAATCCAACAGCTACACATTCAATTAAAAAGTCATAATATGACTTTTTATAGTTCACAAAAGTCATGCATTGTGTCGTCTACCTGTGAAAATGACGTGTAAACAGTAAAGTTTTTTTTTTGTTGTTGTTGTTTATATTAATTCACGGGTATGGGCACGGGTTTAAAAAAATAGAGCAAATGCGGGCGAGTAGCAAGTGACAAACAATTTAAATTTAAAAAAGACAAATAAATAAAAAGGTGTCGCTTATTTTAAACATCTGATCCAGCAGATTTTTATCAAGCCTAAATAACCGATACATTTATTGTGAAGGCCTATGACACAACATTTGACCCGTCAACTCACAGGATGTCAGTCAGACGCCAACGGGGCAGCGTGTCAAGCTGGACAACCTAAAAGCGAAACTAGCCGGTGGTGAATAGAACATTGTGGATAAATACATCATTGAAAGCCATTGTTCTCAACAGTGAGAACAATGTTATCAGCGGCTTTGCTGCTTGTAAATGGTGCCAAAGAGTGTTAGCCTCAAGCTAGGCACGTCCTCACTGAGGGAACAGCGGAGCCCAGGTGCTGTGTCCGGCAGCAGATACTTTTCCAGCACAACTCTCAAGCACTTTAAAGTAAGTGACTGTGTGGCTTAAAGTCAGTTTTAACTCATTTTAACAAGGCGGGTGATTTCATTTAGAAATGACTCCGGGTAACGGGTCGGGGCCGATACGGAGGATGCGGGTGCAGGTTTTCGGAGTTGGACCTGTGCAGGACTCTGGTGGACAAAACCCTGTTCCTGCAAGAAGCAGGTGTCTTTTCTTTGAAGCATCGCACTCCTACTCATCCTTCACCTTATCGTTTCACAAAGGACATCAAAACACTTACCTTGCAAGAATAGGTATTATGCACAGGGTCCACATTAATGATTTCGTCCACGGTGCCGGTCAGGACTATGTTGGCCTCCTCTTCCCTGTCTTCCAAGTCTTTCTCCGGGCAACTAGCGGCGCAGCGCTGCCACAGAGCCACGAGCAGCCCCGCCAGGAGCAGCGCCGTCCGGCTGGCCCGGACTGTCCGATGGCAACCCATGACCACCACACGCACGTAACCCCCAAAGTAAACTTTTTCTACAACTAATCCGAGAGCAAACCCCAAACCTCCTCGAGTGCGTTGAAATTTTGCAGAGCTGACCCTTTCCGCAACTTCCCTACGAACTACCAGTGCCCCTTTCACTCTGCAGCCTCGTTCCCCGCATCAGCAGCCCGAGTTAAAAATCCCTCTCTGCCGCTGCCGACAGGGAGATCAGACGGAAGGAGAGGAAGGAGGCGGAAGGGGCAGGGAGCTCTCTCTCCGTGATCTTACTGCACTTCTCTGTCCGCTGAATTTGCATGCAATCTGAATTGCTGATCCCACAACACAAGTGAGGGTGGTGCTGGGGGTGGAGGGCTGCACGCTGAGATTAGAAAGTGGCTGTCCAACGCCGCCCCCAGTCGGGCAGACAGCGTCCTTACCTCCGGTTCCCATCAGCAGCAGCATCCCCCAGATCCCTGCCGACGCACGAAGCACCATGGATTGTATTTTGGAGCGTAGGTTTGCAGCAGTGAAGCCTCTCTAGCCTTCAAGTCTTTAGACTCACATAGTGTATCAACTATGTTTAGTCATTTGTCACTTTCCACAATTAGTATTATCTGTAGTCAGTCACATATTGCTCCATTTATATTAAATCTGGTTTGTCAGATGCTACTGAGGAGAAATTTTACCAACAACTTGAGTTACATTTACTTTGATGAGAAAGTAAACATGCCCTGCAACTTCTTCTAAGATCACTATTTAAATATTTGCGAAAGTCCTCTATTGAATCTTTCAACAATAAAAGATTGTCTGTATTTTTTTTTTGTCTCATCATTATTTGTTAGGAGGGTTTTGTGTTTGTTTTTACTATTTATCACTGAAATATCAGTGTCATCCAAGGTGGTGAGGAAAGCGTGATGAGGGCAGCTCACCGGACTGTCTGTCAAAAAGCTCTCTTCCATATCACTGCCTCACTCATGTGACATCCATGTAAAACCAAACTCTACAGCTACTTAAACAGTTGCTAAACTCACACTATGTCATATATCATTAAAGACTTTCCTTTATATCGTAAAACTTCCCATGTTTAAATCTGTAAATGTTACCATATGTCTCTTCTGTTAGAGGTCTTATTTAAGACAGACGGTGCATAAATTTCCACTCCCGAAAGCTGTAATTTTAACTACCCTTCTATTCCTGGGAAAATGACAGGCTTTGCTTGAGAGGATATTTGTAGAAATTTGTTAAAGCAGGCCTCAGCTCTGACGGCTGAGTTAAACCAAACAGACAAATGTCTTTTGAATGAAAAAGACGATACAGTGTGTCAGTGCTTTTCCTCTTCTGTATACAGATGTGGTGGGGATCAAATTTACACAGATGCTATTATTACTGGAGCAAACACTCACCACATGCTATTCCCTTGGCCAAGTTAAATCAATAATATTCAAATACAAATAATCATCCAGTTCAACAGACAGCATGATCTGTAATATCATCAGGATGTGCAGCCTGGAGCTGCTTCGCTGACAGTAAAAGGCAGTGGTCTGCATTTACTTTGGCTTCAGCATCTTCCATGAGCTTTTTTTTATAGCAGTAATGACTAGTTTGAACCAGAAATCTAAAAATGTAATCCACTGTATGTTATTATGTAATATAAATTATTCTTAGTGTTTGCGTATGTGTCAGACAGAACTCGCTGCAGTAATTTGTGGACAAAACTAATTGTGCCTTTGTTCCTGATTTTTGTAAACAGTAGGCTAATGAGTGCAAATTAGAATCACAGAGTTCTAGGGTACAGTCAGTGGTACTTCATTCTACACCACAGTATAATACATATAAATAAATGTTAAATGAAAGTAGTGGAAGACCTTATTCATATGGCTATGAAAAGTGTCACTAGCAGGTATCCCAGCTCAGCAGCTCCCGCCTCCGTCTAGCATTTTAGATTCTTTCAGCTTTCATTGCTTTGGTTTTCTATCCCATACATTTGGTTCAGTCTAATCATTGTCATGAACCCAGTTTCCTCACCCTGCCGGTAGTTGTTTCTAGCAAAAAAAAAAAGTTATGTAGTCAGTTTGTGTCTTTTAGTGGTTGTTTTGCATCCCTGTGATTTTGTTTTGTGTCTGTTTTTAGCCATTTAATGTTTATTTTTACTCATTTTGCTTTTGTTTATAGTCAATTTTCACCCATTGTTACTTGTATTGTCTTTTTTATCTCTTTGTAGTTTGTTTTGGTTCTTTTTTTGTTTAGCATTTTTAGTCATGGTGTTTTTTTCTATTTCTTTTCACTCATTTTGTGTTTCTTTTTTGATGATTTAATATCTCTAAGAGGTTGTTTTGCATACTGTAGATATTATTTTGTGACTTTTTTGTAATCATAGTTTACTTTCCAACAGAAACATTAACATAAGGAATCATCACATTTTTATGGAAACTTTAAATAAAAGCAAAACCAAAATGATATGAACCATGTGATATTGGTGAAACAACAACATGTCCCATTTCAAAAAAGCCCAGAATGTAGCATGCAAACATGTTAGTGGCAGATGGCATTTTGTGATGTTGAATAATTTTCTGTATCAAGGAACAGTCCTTGAGATGAGTATCAAGCACCACAAGGGACTACCAATTGTTTTTCTCTATGGACACAGAACAAAAATTGGAATATTTCTAATAATATTAAGCTTGCTGGAGCACATGAACAAGTTATCTCCTGACAGCCCTCCTAATCCCACAAATATTTCAATGCAAAAGCCTCAGAAATTAAACAAGTTTTAACAAGTCTTTGACTGAAAGGAGACATTTCTTTGGCTTTTTTTGTGAATCAAAGTGAAGACAAATTCACAGCAGCAATCACAGAGGAGCTGGGAGCCACAGACATCAGCCTACATCACATCGGATGGGATTTACTGGCTGACATGGAGAAGTTGTTCTGAAGAGGTTTGTGTATTTGCTTGGAATTTATGCCAGTTTTACACTCTTGCTGTTCACGAAGAAAGACTAAAGGGCCATTTGATGATTGTGAATCCTTTACCCCCCCAGTCTGAGCAGGAGCAAAACTGTTTAGCTTTAAAATACATTTGGGGAGAGAAGGGTCAGCTCCAAAATATCCAGCTATCATATGTGAAATACTCTTTCTCAGCAACATCTCAGCTAGTCTTTTTACATTTCAGTTGTGACAGGGAGGGATGCAGGTGGAGCCTTCTCTTATAATTTATGAAGTTATACCTATGTTGTTGGCTTACACAAGGAATCCATAGCAGCTGGAAAAGGTTGATTCTATTCAGACATGTGTCATTGGAAGGCAAAAGGTGAAATCTGAGATGCAACATTAGAAGGCAAATTGTATGCAAAGCCCTGGGGCTGCATCACACAAAGAAGCAGCTGTATCGCTGCACCACTGGGCATCACTGCATCACAGTCATCAGATCAGCACAGTACTGAAAACCAGTCCCACCTTTGGGCTTGTGTTTGAGCCATGTAAGTGATATCTTTAGAGTGTGTTATCCTGTCGGTGTCTGTTCATTTCCACTCTGTTTCCCAATATGAAACGCACACACACAGAAAGTACACACATACACTGAGACATTCCAGTGTTATCGAACAAGGCTGCTGTAGCTGTTTTGTTTTTTCAGAGCACAGACCCAGTCTCCTCTATCGAGTATCCGTAATGGAACTGAGGAGCGAGCCTACCCTGCCTGAAACCACAGACATGGTGTCCGGTGTCCTACAGTACATCCTACGGTACAGCCTGCCTTCTTTCTCCAACAGACAGGGCTTCAGTAAGGATGTAAATTAACTCGTTTTTTGCTTACCTCATTATGACTGTGTGTGAAGCTGTTATTTGTCAGAAATCACTGGATACAACCCTGAAGCGATGATCATAGCTGTCTTCCTGCTTGAACATGAATTAAATGTTTCTTTTTTTCATTGAATGTATGTTTTTACCCTGTCTTGCATGAGCATTAATGGACAAGGAGTTTTCCTAACACCACCTGTGTGACATGAATCATGAAACACTAGCTGAACATGTGTTCTATGTCAGGCGTCATACACAGAATTTGTGTAATAGTTTTATACAAAGAGGAACAAGAAAGTCAATGCATGCCAGCAACAGTGTAAATATACAGAATGTGTCTGAAGCATTCCCCTGTTTTATGACCCAGAGCAGTGAGAGTACAGTGCGAATAGCTTTGGAATCTGTATCGATTGTTTATCATACCATCATCTTACAGCACAAGACAATTGTCAGATGGTTTTACTTGTGGCTTTAAGGACAGATGTTTACATTTGTTCACTGTGTCTGAGAAACCATAGGAATTTCATAAGGTCCTGGTTGAACTAAATGCCTATAGCAGCTCACTGCATTTGCATAAGAAAATAGCTTAGAAATAGTGTGTTTTTGCACAATTCAAGCCTTCTTTGGAGCTATTAGACATCTGGAAGAAGGTTCATTCAGAGTTGACTGGCTTCCCCAAATGTCATTTACAGCATTAGATTGCTTTGTTTTAGGAATAGCACATTGTTTGATGGACTTTAATTCTGCTGCTCAGGATGTGCAAGTTTTGGTGGCATCTGTATCATGGAAAAGTCTAAAGAAGTGAAAATATAAAACATTTTCTTTCCAAATGACATCTATAGTCTTTCTCCATACTGATTGCTTACAGGCAAGCTAAATGGAAAGTTTAGGGGGAAACTATTTTGCACTTTATATTCCTCCAGTTACAGCACTGCCTTCCCAAGACAAACAGCAGAGATAGAAGAGCTATAGTCGAAAGACTGTTTAGCTCTCTGATAAGTTTGCCAGATGGCCCTCTCCTTTGTGGCATCAAGTCTAAACAGGAGAGGCAGTTTCACACCTGGTTTATCCCCATGCATTTAACTGGAATGTCAGCTAGTTCAGTGCCCCATGGAGCCTCTCCCATTTCATTTTTCTGTCTGGCTTTCTGTTTTAATCAGTAAGTCTGCAGTTTAAGGCTTTGAGCAGGGTTGAGATGTTTCTTGTTGGTGTCCATGGAATGAACAAAAGGGTAAACACTCACCACGTGGCTTCATTGTGATGGAATCATGTCGCCTCTCCTTTTCTCTCTTTTTCTCAAACCCAAAAATACAATGTCTTTCCAAAAATACTAGCCTTAAGACCCTTTCATTCTTCACCATCACAAGTCTTATCTCAACTGACTGCCCGGTAGAATGGAGACAAGATAAAGAAGTGTCAGTGAGAAACACCAGGTAGACTATGTTCACCTCATTACAGATAGAACCCTCACTTTCTCATGTCACACATGGCTACTATAATGCCTTTAGTGTGTAATGTCCCACACTCAAACACGATACCTAAAAGTTAACATGAAGTGCATATGGAATTGTCCATTAAATTATAAAAATCCCACAAACTGGAGCTACAAATTGTTAATGGTTACAAACATCAAATGTAACATGTGAATATGAGCTTCCTTCAAATCTTTATGTTTAAAACCAGCTGTAAACTGTTTACTGACCATATTGATGGCAGGGCAGCAGTGAATGATAGCCAGCCATCTTCCATTACAACTGGTTGGTTATGAGACCTCTCCATCCATCTGGTCCCGCTCCCACACAGCTCTTGCTCGTTTATGCTTAGTGGCCACAATTTACAGACAGTCATTTTGTCTAATGGATACCATTCATTTACTCTCAGCTTTCTGTTTGGCAGGCACTTGCCAGAGTCTATTAGGAAATGAATCCACTGCGAATGCCCACTGCAAAT